AAGGGGTGAGAGGGGGTGGGGTGGGACAGGAAATCAGAGCGAAACATGAACTTTCTCCCTCAGACTGTAAAATCATCGGGAATGTTAGAGATGAAGTATTGGTCAGATCTGATTTATAAGTTAAATTAATTTTCTCTCCAATGCATCAGTGAAAAAAACAAGGGGATCATGCAGAGGCTGTAATAGAGGAGGAATTTAAAGAAAAACCTTAGTATTAATGGTTTATGGCCAGGGGACTGAGCTGTTGAACTCTTCTCTGACAAAGAGGGAGGAGATATCTGCCATTCTGTGTTTAGGCATGAATCAGAATCTTCTCAGAGAGGAAACAAGGAACAGGCCTTGGATGTTCAGTTAGGTCTAGTTTGATGTAGAAGCTCTTTCCAGAAATGCTGGAAGCAAAAGATGGGGAAACAAAGACCATAGATAAAGGCCTATTACCAGCACTACCAAACCGTTTCTTCTTTGAGACCAAATAAAAATTAAATTTCTTAATCACAGAAAATTTGCACTTTCTAAATTTTAAACACAGCAAAGAATTATATGGAACAGTGAATATTTTTCATGTTTACAGAAACCTAAGAATTTCACTGAAAGCCTTCAAAAGGAATACTACACTTGTTGTGTATTGATCTGAACCGTCCTCATTGTTGAGATTAATTCTATGTAGCAGTTGAAAGCTCAACTGGCCCTTGGGGGACAGTATTTTGTTCCCATTTCTTTCATCAGATGCCAGCTGATCTCAAAATTTTGCATGTTACTAAGTAAGCTTTTTATGTTGATGGAAATATTGTGCAAAACAGAGCAAGACTCAGTGTCTTTTTCTGTGCAGATTATCCTACCTCCTACAATAAAACCAGATTTTTCAAAGTGCACCATGTGCTTCAGAGAGCTCTTCTCAGATATAAATCTGGGATTTGTTAAAGGTCTCATTGTTGACTCTTAAGAGTCTTTCAGCAATTGGTCTAAGGTTATGAAGTGTCCTAAGCCAGGGGTGCTACTTGATTGTATTATTTTGGTGTTGAACCAGGATAGGTCCCTAGTATTGCAAGCCAAGATTTTACAAGAGTAAGTTGATTTTCATGTCAGTTTTATTATAATGCTGAAAAGTTGTGCCAGTGTCCCTGCTTCTCATTCATTTCAAACTGAAACTGTCTTAAGCATAACTTGTACAGTGTGTGGATTTCTTTGTTTGCAAGGGTTTTTGTGGTTGTTTTTTCCTTTGTTTTGTTTTTTAAACACAGATTGTTCTGATTGTATGATGCCGGCTTTGAACGGATACACACACCTCTGCTAGCATCCTCTACATTTCCTTCCTGTTCTGTGTCTAACTGCTGACAGTGGCATTAAAAGAGATATTTTGGGGCTCGAGCAAAGAAACAGAAGCATGCTTCTGTTACAGAAAGGTATTCATTTCAGAATAAGAATTGAATATTTTGGGCTAACTCAAAAAAAACCCAGAAGGCAATTGCTAGCATTTTGTATGGACATATGGGGAATTTCTCACTCTGAAGAACTTTGATTGATGGAAGCCAGGCACATTCCTTTCATGCTCAAGGCTTCTTGCATCAGACCTGGGCATATTCATGTTCTCCACACAATGCAGCAGAACTCAGTGCCAGAACAGAACAGAAAGGTTTCCTTATCTATTTTATCCCGTTAAGTTGTCATGTTGCATTTCCTTCATTTATACCACTTAATTTCATTTGTTTTACCTTTTCTTTTTGTTCTTTATGCAAGTAGATGACATTTTTAGTTTTCAAAACTGATGTCTCCATCCACTGTCTGTCATTTCTATGCAATTCTAACAGCAGTTTGATTTTGTCTTTGTCTGGAGACTAAAATTTCCTTCAACAGCCTCATCTGTTTGCAGAGAGGCCCAGACGCAGTTACAGCTACATGAACTTTCTCCCTGAGAAAGCCCTGGCTTTGGGGTTGTAGCCTGATGATAGGTAGCAGGGTGAGGAGGGAAACTAAGAGGGGGAATTATTCAAATGTCATAGTTAAGGCAAGGGGAAAGCTTACTGTGTTTTCCCCACCCCGCATGAAAGTTTACAGAGGACAAGTGATACAGCCACAGATTTGTAGAGAATCAAGGACTGAAATCTTTGGTGTGAAGGCATTTCTACCATACAAATCATTCCTTCAGGCTGCTTCTGCCTCCTGACAAATGCCGTTAAATGTCATGATGGCTACATAATGTAATGTTCAAGCTTCATTTGCAGTGCAACCTCTTACATTTGATTGTAAGGTCCTGACTGGACTGTTGGCGATTGTCCCACTCATCCCATTTACTTGGAAACAGGCAGAGTTTTGGAAAGAATTGTTGTAACTCGGAAAGTAGAATGCTAGAACCACAGAGAAATAAGGGACTGGAATATCAGGGGCACAAGTGCTTATGCCTGTATTCTGCTTTTCATTTAGGAGGTGATTACAACAAAACTGTATCTAACTTTATACAGACACTAGTTCCACCACAAAGATGCAGAGATTCAGTTTTGTACTTGGCTGGGATTTCGGTAGAAGGATGAAGGGGTAAAATTTGGTTCATGTTGTACAAATTCATATCTCTGGTGCAATATATGTAAAAAAGAAAAAAAGAAGCCCCACTCTGTACTTTGTATAGATTAGTTTTTAACTGGATTAAACTGAAACTCAGCACAGTCACAGAGGTTTGGTGTTTCATTTTTAGTGAGTGGACAGGAAGTGGGTTTGTATTCATGGAAACATAGAGTGGTCTGGGTTGGAAGTTACCATAAAGATCACCTCATTCCAAGTCCCCTGCTATGGACAGGGACACCTTTCCAAAGACCAAGTTGTTCAGAGCCAGCCCATCCAACTGGCCTTGAACACTGCCAGGGATGGGGCATGCACAGCTTGTCTGGGCAACCTATGCCAGTGGCTCACCATCCTCACAGTAAATAATTTCTTCCTAATATTTCATGTCTAACCTAATACCTAATCTAATCCTGCCCTCTTTAGTTTGAAAGCATTCCCCCATGTCCTGTCACTGCATGTCCTCGTAAAAGTCTGTCTCCATCTTTCTCATAGGCTCCCTTCAGGTAGTGACAGGCCAGTTAGGTCACCCTGAAGCCTTCTCCTTAGGAGTCCTTCCTCTTTGCTCTCCAATGTTTGCTTTCTGGAGAGATGTGAATTTAATATAAGATGTAAGAGATCTTTTGTTCTTCCGTGGCACCAGCTGCTTCACTGCAGTAGCTATTAACTAATTAGGTACTCGAATGCTCAGTTTTCTATATTCATAAAAATACAAACCAAACTAATTAAAATCCTACTGTACCACAGCATTACAAACTCATCACACCACCCCACGCTTCCCTGACTTGTTCACATTCAAAAAAGAAATTCCAAGGAGGGTAGAGCACCCATGGGTTTAGTAACACATTTTTCTATAGGTTGCATTCTATGCCTAGATTTTGCGTTCAGAGTCAGGTGTTGGCCACTTCAGGATGTGAGAATGGCAAGGGCGAGGTGTCTCGACATCCACAGGATGTGGTGCCATATCCAGCCACACTGGAATTTTCCATCTTTTATCTGGAATTTATCTGGATTAGAAAAAATATGATGTATGGTAGAGTTTTGTAAAGAAATGAAGCTTTGAACTAGGGCTTGTCCTTTGGTGATTTATGCAAAAGTAGGTAGCAGATGCCAAGAGCTGTCCCTAAACTTGGTCCCAGTTGTACAAAGGCTGTGAAATGAGAGTTACATCTGAAAACAGCAACACTGACTATGGTTTAGTTACATTTCTAAAAATGAATTATTTTTACATAATGAGAAAGGAGGGAATGAGTTTGGGCCCTATTATTTATGCATCTGCAGGCAACAAATATCAAAACCATCTACAGTTACCCCAATATTACCTATTGCCTTAAAAGCTTGAATTCTTGCCAGAATCAGGTTATATCCAACAGTAACAATTTTTATATTTATACTATCAAAAAACTGTGCTAAATAGCACCTTACCTACTTGCTTGTGTGGTAAAGTACAATATCAGTGAGGGAAAATAATTTTTCAGAGATAACTTAGTTTCTAAAGCTGGTGGTTTTTTTTCAGTGACAAAGGCAGGGATAGAGCAGCACACCAGAACTGACCTCTCCATTCTCTGCCCCTTTTCCATCAATTCAAGCAGCTGTCGGTCTGAGTGACTGCACAGCAGTTGCTGCTCAGTCCCCGTGCAAACAATTTTTATTTACTCAAACTTGTATTTCCTTAAACACATAATAGCTCACAGGTGGTATCTGCCGAGAAACTGCCCACAGAGCCATTTCTGTGTTAAAGAAGGTGCACAGATTCCCCTCCTGTATCTCATTTCACACCCGCTCTCACTCTCTTATCATCACTGTTAATAATACACTGAGAAGAGGGCTTCCATTTCCGTGCTCCCTGCCACCAGGGACATGGCAGAAAGTGGGATGGAGGCACAGGCAGCCCTTCAACTCCACTGTGCTCATTGCAGGCTGTGCCAATTCACAAATGCAGGGCCCACCTGGGAGGAGAGGATGAGTTGCTCTGCCATGGAGCCCTCAGCAAACTCCTGTGCACGGAATTTCCATTCACAGGAAGGCCCTGCAGCAGCCCCGGGTGGAATTCCTGAGCCCACGCCAGTCCCACAGGCTGTGCAGACCTTGCCAGTGCTTTTAGTACCGTGGAGAAGTGATCCAACATCTGTTACAACACACAAGGATTCCTCACCGAACAAGCGCATAGAGTTGCTCCCCGTTTCCTCACTAGAGGGAGTCTCAAGACAAGGATTTCTGAGCCCTCTCCGGAGCTAAATAAGCAGAGGTGGCATAATAAAATAGGATGTTGGAAACGGAATGATCCCTCAAAAGCCAAACAACAGCAACTGCCGTGTTTCAGAAGGGCTTTTGGTTTTTTCCTTCGATGGAAGGCATTTCTTACATTGTG